TATGTAAACCTTTGCGATATATATATATATACCGATTACTTACCTGTAATTTAATTAAGAGTTAAGTTAAGAAAAATTATTTTCAAGCACGCAGAACGATTAAAAGAAACAACTTTTGCTAAGTGTTTTGTTCAATGTTTTTTTTATATTTGTTTATATTTTTTAATAATTTTTTTTTTGTTTCGTTCAAAACAACAACTATTTTTTTCCTTGTTTCAATTATAAAAGTATCATTCGTTAGTTGATCCAATCGAATAATAACAGGATTTTCGAACGAACGAATGAAAAAATAAGAGATTCTTTGGGGAAGCTGTTAAAATAAAAAAACAGTGGAATATTGACTTTCACCCTCCGTCTATTGTATTTTTTTTTTAATTATTTTTCATGCCATTTCACTGGGTTTGCTCGTTGACAAAATCGCGCAATGGCGAAGTTTATCGCACACGGTAGGTTCATGGCGGTGCATTAAGTACGGGAAATTTCCAACGAGCTTGCTGCTACAACGTATTAACAATTTAACGAAGCGGCACCTGTGACAGCTATTACAACACAATTATACAGAAAGAGAGAGAGAGAGAGAGAGACAGAGAAATAGAGAGAGGGAGAGAGAACACGCTTACGTTCTCATATTTTGAGAAATCTATTCTTAGAAAGTTTATTTAAAAAGTAACATTTATAATATTTAATATTTTATATACATATGTAGAAATATTTTATACATGTTAGAATATTATATATATATATATATATGTAAGTATATTATATACATGTAAGAAATATTTTCATATATGCATTGTAAAAGGATAATACATATAAAACAAACAAGAAACTTACTTACTTATTCGATAAGAAAATTTCTCTATATTTTGGTTAATTAGATAAAATGCAAGTATATATGTATATGAAAACTAATTTCGTCTATTATATCACGCTAACGAAGGAATGAAGAATGAGAGACACGACGGTCTAATGAATTTTCATTGGCACGCTCGTATACGCGTTGTACGCGACACCAAAAAGAAAGAAAATAAAAAACAATAAAAAACATAGAGTGTGAGAGGTCAAAGTACGGATTATTTATTTATTTTTTTTTTGAGATTAAAATTGGAAATAGTAGTTGGTATTAACTTTAACCTTGGTAAGGCAAATAAATTGGAAATACGTTCGGTAGTGATAAAATAAATAAATCCAAGCGTTAATGGGATTAGCATATCATTATCGAATGATAACAAGGTTTTCATGTATATATAGTTATATACATATTACACATTCAATGAGTTTTATGTGTGTTATTGCGAATGCGTGATATAATTTGTCGATTTTTATTTTTTTAATAAGATTATTATCAATTGGTCGTGTTTCGTCACTTGTTGAACACCCTTTTATATCTGGTCATAAGGCAATTAGATAACGCGTAGGAAAGTCTGGCTAATGTGTGTACATATATGTGCGTATGTGTATGTGTATGTATATGTGTATGTGTATGTGTGGTCGAGGAGGGTAAACGAGCGTGCAGTAGCATCATCTCCTTCTGAAAGCGCGATGCTTTCGAGGGTTGTCAACCCTCATCGTAGTTCGTCGTACGTTCGGAGATTCGTTCGGGATTCGTTCGGAATTCGTTCGGTTCTCACCGGCACTATTCGTTTTAAGGTGGAAGGGTGGCGCGCGCGTTACGAAGAGCCAGTACGCGTTTGGCCGTCGTACCGTTCGAACGTACCTTTCCGGACCTTAAAAAAGGTTTATTTATTTGTTCGGAGTAAAATATATTCGATAGAACACGAGGACTACTACTACTTCAGTTTGTTTATCTGTTTTTATCTAAATGCGTGATCTTATCTTCGTATGTGTTTAAAATTATATTATATATATATATTTATATGTTATATTATTTTTCTTTTTGCTTAAATGTAATTAGAATATTAAGTTGATTATTATATTTGTTATATTGTAATATTTGTGAAACGTGAAAAAAATCATTCGGTTCGTAGTTTTGCAAATGAATTGTGATTGAAAAGGGTGACATCGATGATCAATTTTTTGTTCACTTTTTTTCGTTTTATTAAATAAATTTGTCCTATTTTTTGCTGTTCATTTTCTCCTTGTATTTATATTTTTGGTTTAATTTTAATTTTAAAAATTTTGTAAACGTTGTTTATATATGGTGTGACTCCGATCTCGTGGAGATTAGATTTTTCTTTCTATCTTTCTCATTTTTTTTTGCTCTCTTTCTATATATGTATGCATATATATATAGACGTTGCAGAATGTTCGGACACTTTTTTAAATGGAATAAGTTTTTGTAGACTGAGTAAAGTGCTCTGAATTTTTGAGTAGATATGGAGATGTAGGGGTAGTTATGTGAACTATATAAAAGAATTTTTAAAAATATGTTATTTTGTTGTTAAGATAATAAAATATTAATAAAACATGAGCCTGTTTAATTTTCTATGCTCTAAGAGTTTCTATAACAAAAAAAAAAATAATAAAGAATATATATATTTTGTAGAGTTAATAATTGTCTCACGTGCATCCTATTAATCCTAAAAAAAGGTAATTTATAAAAATAAACAATTTACCATTAATCTAAAAATTTTCTAATAACTATAACTAGTTTTATATAATTGGTCGACTTTAATAATATTCACAAGATATATATAAAAACATAAAACATAGTAAAACGGATGTGAAAAGTGTATATATATTTACATTTTAAAAAATACACTTTTATTAAAAATCTTCATAACATTTTAATTTATATTTAGAATTATTTAAACAGTAGAAGCAAAGAAAAGAAAAAAAAAAGAAAGAATAATATTTTAAATTCTCTTTACACTTTCGTTTCTATTACAACTCATACCATTTTTCTGTATCTGCTAGAAAAATTTCAGAGCTTTTTATATTAGATATAAAAAAAAAAGAAACAAAAAGTAAATCCGATTTGAAAAAGTATCTCAACCATTATTCCGTAGAATCTTGAACATGATAAATATTTGAGATTCTTAATAATATATATATAGTAAGATTCGTATTCTTTCGTTGAATTTGATCAGATCAATGGTGTATCCGTTGAGAGGGTGGTTCACGTGAGTTTTGACTCTCTCTCTCGAAAGTTGCTGGCAGAGAGATATCTGGGCCAAACGACCGCTCATGACAGGGAAGAAATATTGCACTGGTCGGTCCGTGTCGTTGTTGCAACCGATCTTTTATCCTCGTTTCGTTTTTGTCCCATTTTCTTGCGTTCTCGCCGTTTCTCGTTTGTATTTTTCGTTTTTCCCTTTTCCCTACCCTACCCTTCCCTTTCTCTTTTTCTTCTTTTTTTTTTGTATTCTTCAAGCCGTGGCGGCTGCGGTACCGGATACGGTCTGACACTGACGCGTACGTAATGACTTCGTGGAACGTCGAACGTGGGAAACGTGTTACGTGAAAATAACAGAAGGGGGTTGAAGAAATAAGAACGAATCGTACAAAAAATCACGCACACACCAATGATCATTAACACCTATCATTATCTTTTGAACCTTAACGGACGATCGTTATGATAAATAATATCATAAGGGTGAGGGGGAGATGGTGAAGGGGATAATCCAGGAATATTTGACACCAATATTCGAGAAACCTTTTATTCCTTACGATAATCCTAGGATGAAGAGATACGAGGTGATGCTGATAGTGGTGATGGTAGTGGTGAGGGTGAGAAAATGTGGGGGTTGTAATCAAGATCGTATTGACGTTGGGTATCTAATTTCCTTGAACGATAAATTTGTGAGAATAACGACGAACTTCCTTGTCATAATCGTTCTCGATAATTTAACGTTAAATAACCCGTTCTTATTTTCAAACAAAATATACACACATATGTCAGATTAAAAGGGGTATAATCAGGGTTGAGTCAGAGTATAAGGATTCTATGTGTGTGTTTGTGTGCGTGATATATAACATAAACGTTTCTCTCGTTATGTCTTCTAGTTGAACCAACAGATTTTATACTCCTTTTACCTGTACGACAACAACAATGCAACAACATTGTCCGGTACAATAATAAATAAAAAAAAGATAGATACTTTTGCCGGATGTGAGAGAGAAAGAAAGAGAAAGAGAGAGAGTTAGATTCACCGGAAATTGTTTACGTCTTTCATCCACCGGTAAACGAGATACATTGTTATCGGTTATACTGGCAACGAATTCCACTCTCTACCCCCCCCCCTCCCCCCACCCATCCCTTGTCGATGTGTCTCGTTCGAAGAAAACTGATAAGAACGAAATAATTGATGATACGATCGAGAAATGAAAAGAAAAGGGTTTCAAGTTAAAAAAAAAACAACTTGAAAAACCAACAAGAGTACGAGTATTCTCCTCTATTTCCGTTTACGTTTTTTTATTTCTTTTAACCTTCTCTTATTGTTAGATAAGAATATAAAGAAAGAAGAGGAAGAAGAATGAGATAAGGAAAAGAGATGATAGTATAGTGATTCTTTGCAACTTAAGCCGATCACGAATCGAATCAAATCGAATCGAATCGAATCGGATCGGATCGAACGATCAAATCGTCTCGCTTCGTTGAGAAGAAACGTCCTACAGGAATTTTATTCCAGCGTGGATTAACGATCGCAACATTGGGGGGTTGGGGGTGGGTGGGATAAGGTTGTGGGTGCGGTAGAGACGAGTCTCTGCCCTTCGGGAAATCACGAATTATACATTTTTCAATTAAATACATTGAACTCACTGGCCCGCGGGGAAATACCTAGGTGACGAACATTGCTTTTGGGCCAGGTAAGAATGAATTTTTAGTTTTTATTTATTTAGAATTTTTTTTGCTCAAATTTTATTTTTAAACGTAAGTTTTCGTTTTTTATTTTTGTTTTTTTTTTTGTTTTTTAATAGTTTGGAGCTTCCTTTTTGTTTCGTCGTTGAATCACGAATTTTTTTTTATTAAATTTTGTTTTATTACGTTAATTATTCGTTAAGTTTTTCATTGAATAAAAAATTATGTATTAAATAATAATTCAAGAACAGATACATACTTATTATATTATATTCGTGGTTTATTTATAAAAATATTTATAATATAAATATATTTTTTGTTTATATAAATAAATTTATAAAATTAAATTTTTAATTAAGGTTTATAGATAAAAATTTTTATATTTTTTATTTATTAAAAATATTTTATTCATTGTTTTCTGTTTCATCATTGTATCACGAATCTTTTTTTTATCTTTAAATTAATTTAATTTCTTTTATTTGGATTTTTATTACTTTTATAAATAGTCGTTAATATAAAGTTACATTACTCTTTCATTGGATAAATAAAAAATTGGTTATTAGATAATTCTTGAAGAGTAGACATACGTGTTGGTTGTTAGTACCCCCCTCGTTTTCCAAATGATGATGGTGTACGAGTGCTGTTTGCTGATGGACACGCGTTGAAATATGTCTCTATGTGATATATATATATATATCTCTCTTTCTCTCTCTACTATTCGTAGAGAACGTGTATCGATTTTAATAAGCGAAGTAACGCAAACCGTGTACCGGTATCAGATTGTAAAGCACATTTAATACCTCGTTTTCTCCAATCGTTCGTTTTCCTCTTTTTTTTTGTAAGTTAGTTTATTTAATCGCTTGATACATTTTTACGAGACTATAACCAAACAAAAAACTTGATCCTTGTTTATTTATTTCTTTTCTTTTTTTTCAAATCATTTTTTTTTAACTGGTTTAATAATCGTAATTTTTATCGACTATATTTTTGTTTTATAATTTTATCTATTTATTATATATTATACTATATATTATATATATATACTATATACTATTTACAATACTAATAATATCTCTTTAATTATATTTCCAAACATTCCTTTTCATAATTCAAATCAATATATATATATATATATATATATATATATAATATTTGTATAGTGTTCTACACGTTATTACTTTATTTGATACATGTTTGTTTTTCTCTTTATTATTTTTTTTTTATATTCTGTAAAGAATGACATTTTACTGTACTAAGTTACAGAATCGATTCTTTCCCGATGTCACGAAGAGAGAGTAGTATCACATTTTTGTTAGGTTTTTTTTTTATTTTTTATTTCTCTTTTCGTAGTAACAGAATACTGAAATTTCCGCTGAAACCGATGAAACGTTGTATTTTAAATAATTTTTTTTTTTTTATCTTTTACTCTCTTTTGCGAACAACCTTGTAAACAACTTAACGAAATTATACATATATAGATAGAAATATATGTGTGTATGTGTACGTGTGTGTATAAAAGAAACAAAGACGAGGAAAAAAAAACTAATAGCATTTATTGTATCGTTTTTCTTGCCGTAATTCATAGTAATAAAACCTAAATTAATTATACACCCCCTCTCAGTCCCTTCTGGTGGATGGTTAGCTCGTAGAAACTTTTCACAAAGGTAAATACATTTTACACGAGAAAACGTTTCGTTCTAAAATGGAAAGCACGTTTTTTTCCAAATGTTTTTTAACGAAATGATTTTTGTTCGGTGATAAGGATGATGAAAACAGCCCTTTCGTTTTGGTCAGAAAGGGTGGTCGGATTTAGAGATACCTCGTTCAATTAACAAATAGAAATATATATATATATATATATATATATATATATATATTCATTATTTTTTTAGTTATGATTTGTTTCTATAGAAATTATGATGAAATAATTTATTAGTCGTATGTTAGAAAATATATTTTTGATATTCATACGAATTTGGAATTTTTTCCATTTTACTTGTACACCATTTTTTTTTACAAATTTAAAAAATTATTTTATTACTTCGAAATTAATAGTTGAATTCAATTAAAATAAATCG